TGAGCAGGATGGCCATCTGGATGAGGCCCTCCGTGAAGTACTTCTTCAGGTACAGCATGGTGCCGGACTCAGGGCTCAGCTCAGAGTCCAAAAAGAGGACTGTCTCTTCTGTCTTTGTGTCTTAAGTCTCTAGAAGGGAAAGAATCTAAAAAAAAAAACCTTGATTCTGAGATTCTTTCCCCGTAAATATTGGTTGGTAAGGAAATGTTATTATTGTAGTCCAGAACAAGACATTTTTTTGTTAGGTGTCCAATCAAAAATAAATAATTATTGGGATAAAAACATCTAGAAAGATCCGCAATTAAACTTTCCCAAGTTTATCTTAAACCTGTTGCTCTTCGTGGAAACTTCTCTGCCTGTGAATTCAAAAGAAAGAAAAGAATAGATCAATTATTACAAAAGTTGTGGCAAATATCATTTGTAAAGCTTTAAAAAAACTGTGATTTTTACCACAATAACATTAAAACTTCAGCTATTGCTTCAACTGCCTCAGCTGTTATAGAGGGACTACTTCTACTACAGTCCAGTATCATTGCACCCTGTTCTAGAGATAATAATAACGTAACAACACTTATCAGAGCTAATCTCCATTCAGAGTGCAGTCTGACCGGCTTTCACAGTGCATGTGATGAGATAAGGCAGACACACAGTAACTTCTAGAAGGAGTTTGGTAACCTCCCGCCTGTGTTACTCACTGCTGCCGCATGATGAAACTGCCAGTGTTCGCCTGGAAAGAGCCTCTCCCTGTCTCCTCCCTCCCTCTCTCCATGCTAACCTGTTTACTGAAGCAGCAGAGGAACACACCCAGGGATATAATAACTTTTATAGTTCAGTGTGATGCAGTACTCATATATCCCTTTAGGTATGGTTGGCTTGTTCAATTCATATAGACTTCATGTGTACTTTATTTTTGTTGGCTTACATTTTAGGGTTGTTTTCTTTTATTCTGTCAATAATTTATTGAAATGTCAGAAAGACAAAGACCAATTTACATCTTTGTGGACAATAACGTTTTACACTTAAGCCATATAACCTAGCAGGTTACCTATTGGCAGTACAACAGTTTCATAGGCTGTCAATGCATGTGGTTAATAGTGATGCTTGATCATGCTAATCAAATTATTGGTTGCTGATGTACTTCCTCCTAAAAGAATACTTACCATGCTAAAAATGGGCCATGTGTGTTGTTCTATTGTCAATAATTATTATAACCCTGTTATAGGTGCATTAATGTATGTAGCATGTTATGGTCGAGGTATAAAACTATTTTAATTATTTTAATATTGTGCAATCTGTAGCAATGCATCACGTTTTATAAACGGTGCTATGTGTGTCAAATCCTGATGTGTGGCAGAGTAAAAGTAACACATTAAAATACTTAAGTAAAGTAGCCTACACAGCAGCACAGTATCACAAATGTGTGTTTTATACTTGTTTCTGTGTAACTAGACGACCATACATTGCATCAATATTAAGCTCCTAAATGTCTTGTATGGTGAGCATGTTCTCTGTGGTAACACGTTACACAATGTTTTCATCCCTCGCGCCAACACAGTAATATCACGAGACGTTTGACAACAGAAATGTGACCGAAAACACTGCGGAGCACTGCCGACAGTCAACACATCACACACTACTTCAGGAACATTAAACGCACCATGACATCACTTCTAGCATGTTCTTTGATAGCCTACATTCAAAACAACGCACTTTCAAGTAGTAGGAGTAAAGTTGTTAAGAGTACTAATACAATATTACAGCGTATAACAGTTAATAATGTCATTACAGTATGTCAGCGTACAGTTGTTAACAATATGTTTGGAATATCATATAAATGTGTCTCACCAGTTCACAGTGTCTCTCTGTCCCGCCGTCAGTGTCTGCTCTGCTCACCGAGAGTGCGCGAGCGATTTAAAGGGGCACCGAGTGGTGACGTATGACATCTAGTCCCTCCCACCAACTGTGTGTGTGTGTGTGTGTGTGTGTGTGTGTGTGTGTGTGTGTGTGTGTGTGTGTTTAGTAGGCTACTTTGAGAAAGTAGGAAAACTTAATCCTGCTCCACCACATCACAATATAAAGATACTAAATGTTTAATTCATTTTAAAGTCTTACATTAAAAATCTTGCTATTTTTGAAAATGTTTTTCAGTCGATACCTGAATTAAATTCTGTAGTTAACCCAAACTGAAGAGATTTTAACGTAAAATACATCACGCAATGGTGAATGTCTGAAGCTTCTAGGTGTTTTCAAAACAGAGGTTGCTAACAAGTGGCTAAATGAGACTACTAAATGTAATCATGCTGAACATTAGCCGCCTTTAGCTTAGCGGTGCTGATGTGCAGCGATGCGACTGTGATGTAGCCTAGCTTGTTTATAACCTAACTTTAGCTTTTTACTTCTGGCGAATGCATTTACGCTCAACTATTATAAAAGTGGTTTTAATATGTGAAGATTATCCTGCTAAACAAAACGTGTAAGTATCATACATGTTTGTTTACAACAGATATTATTGTTTGCAATATTCCAAATTCCAAAAATCTTGCTTTTGGTCTAGGTGGCCCGTGCGTGCTAACATCCGGGCCGGCTTTCAATAATACGTCATCACTGCACCACTCTTTATAATAGATTTGTATATTTCTTGCTAGTCCCTGATAGTCTCTTGCTGTTGCACAGTGCTGCTCTTTCCCTGCCCCTGAAATCATGTTGCGCAATAATGTTATGATTTGTTTTCCACTGCATGAGGGAATTCAGTGGACTTGTTTTGGTGGCAAAATTGTATTTATGTCTTGTATGTGAATACTTTAAAAAAAAAATCACATTTCATCAGTTGTAATAAATACTAATCTTTACTTCATTCCCTTGTCTCTCCTGATTGAAATACACATTGAAGGCTATACACACGTTTCTTCCTTGCAGAGCAGCTTAACACAGTTCCTGTTTCAACTGAGCAAGGTTTCCCAACATATGGAAGCCCATTGCTGTCAGAGAAATACAAAAATAGACTTAATGTTAGGAGAGATTTAAAATAATAACATTATAAAAAGTAAGAATTATATCAATCAGAATTTTGACTTCCAAGTTAAATAAAGAGATAAATCATCATTCATATCAAAACATTTCACTTGTTTCAAAGCTTATATAACTCATTAAATGATTAAACGTACTCCGTCACACTTTTGACTGTATTGTTTTTACATGCTATCTAAAAATGGTTAAAAAAGTGAAAAATACAATGTCAACATATTATTATTTTGACAGAGCAAATGTGTACATGTGAGTCGGTGATGAGTGACTGACAGAGAGCTCCACCTGCTGTTAGTAACAGTCACTCACATATTTGGTGTTGAAGAAGCAGGTTGCTCCTTTAAATGATAATAGACACACTGCAATACAGCATTCATGTTTTATTTGGAAAGAAAACATGAAATAAATACCAGCTTTTGGCAAAACATGGTGTCGGTGAGTCATAATGCATGTATTCATCTGAATGCTAGGCAACACGGAACATTCAGAATCATCGCCCGTAAAATTGGTTAAATGTGCGCTGTCATAAACAAGAATATATCATTGCGTTGACAAGATAGACCAACAAGCATTTATTTCCGCTTAGATAAAAGTATTTTTATTGACTTGTTTCTAGTGATGCAGGGCCAAGACCACATTGGTCAGGTTTGTGGTCTACCATTTTGAAGTTTGGAGTACTGCGTCTCTTTCGGTCATCATCTTGTTTTATTGTAACCAGAAGTAACAAAAAAGGGTGGAGGTTAAAACAACCAAACTCTGAACAAGGCGATGTTACAAATAACTTTGAGTCAACACATACTGTGAAAGGGTTAAAGATGTAAGACCAGGGGCCTCATTCATAACGCCTTGCGTAGGATTGACGTGAGAAGGTTGCTTACGTAGTACAAAGCAAAAAAATAGGTACAGAAATGTTCCGACATTTTCCGATTCACAAAACATTGCGTACCGGCGAGGGAAGTGCGTACCGGCACTTCCTACGCCTGTTTCCCTTTATAAATCACAATCGACTCGAAATGCGGCGCAGCTTTTGCAGGCTTCACGTAACGCCCATATTTGCCTATAAATAGTCAAAGAAACGCCCATTCATTCATTCATTTTGACTGACTGCATGAAGAAGATCGCAGGAAATTACGACCGAACAGCTAAAAAAGACATCTCACACCGTGTCAGATTTTGGTTATTTTGGGGAGGTCGAGATAAATCATATTGTTTGGTGGATGCAGTTTGAACCAGAGTAGCAGCATGGAGGTCGGATCGTCACCAAAATAAATAAATAAGTGGTCCGAAAAAAGTTAATGACAAAAAAAATACACATAACCTTCCTCAGGCAGTGTGTTTGTCCCGGGGACAGGAGACACCCCCTTGATGAGAAACTCTAAGAAATGATCGGGGAATCCCTCCGGAGTGGAGTCATGACGACTGGATCTGAATTATTTTGTTGTATTTGGTGGTTTGTGTTCCAGCTGTCGATCAGCAACTATATATATATATCCATAATCCACCAGTTAAAGGAAATACAACTAATGTGTTGTGTTATATTAGCTGTACAATTTACCACATATGGTGTTCTTAGTTTCCATACCTCCTGTGTTTTACGAGCGACTTATCAAGTCTTGGCAAACGGCATAAAACACGATTAAACGTGATAGTATATAAAACCATGCTCGTATCTACAACCTATAGAAATGCAAAACGGCGTCAGTTTAGACGTAATTCTGTCCTCCTGCTATACGCATAATTTATGAGAAAACATTTCATAACATTAACACAACATATTCGAGGTGGTTTTAAATAACATATCCGTATTTATTTATTTCTCCAAGTTATGTTTTTGTGTGCACTGAGGAGTCTCAAACAGGCGTTTGTTTATCATTTTAAGATTGGCTTTAATCAATGTTTGAAAATGAATTCTTCATATGATAAATGAGAGGTAACATTTTATTTATTTCCACATATTTCTCTCCATTCTTCTTTCTGCCAACGGTGTCGCAGTTTCTCGTCCCTCCCGTTGTTGTGCTTAGTGCGTACGCATGGGTTAGAGTTTGCGTGGAGGACCGCACATTTTCCCGTCAAGTTAGTATTTTATAAATCGCAAACATTGCGTAGAAACTGGCGTACGCCATTTTTTGAGCGTATATCCCTTTATAAATGAGGCCCCAGAATATTTTAAACATCTAAACCGGACAACACTGTTAGCGATCTGTCACAAGGTAGCCCTGCCCAAATGCATACTCTGCTTTATCTTTTATTTTACTTTTACGCTCTTGATGTATTGAATAAGACTTGAAGGCAGAGATTGAGACCATAAACTCATCAGGAAAATGTTAACTGAGGCAATAAATTAAGTAAAAAGTAGGGCTCATTTCTTCATAGACTTCAATACAAGCGGACTTCATTTTACAAGTGGAGTCGCCCCCTGATGGATATCAGATAGAATGCAGGTTTAAGGCACTTTTCAGAATGGGAGGTTGCCGCTTAACGAACATGAACGACTGATGGAGAGCCATGTAACAGAATAGTCACGTGTTCAAACCCCAAAACAGTCATAAACATAATAATATCAATACTACAATGGCACATACGCATATGCAGGGCGCTGATGCTGACAAAACTTACAAATGTCAAAAATGCTTAATACTTAAAAGCAAAAGCTGGAATTGAGTAGACAAAAACATGTAATAGTGGTCATAAAGGCAATACAAAATATAATACGCTTGACAATTAAGAAAAAAGCAATTAATAAATACCAAGTCATGCTATTGGTGCTGTGATCTTAATGCTAATGTCAGAATGCTAACTTACTGATGATTACACTAGCAGATATTGTTCAGCATGTGAGCTAATGGTGCCGCTATAGGACAGGTCAGCTTAGTCTTATGGATAAAAACAGGCTTTGAAATGTGGTAAATGAAATTATTCATTTGTTTCTTTCACTTATATATGCTCCTGTTAGTCCTGTATCAAGTCTTTTTGCTCATCTTGGAGCTTTGTTCTTCATATAAAACCTCCTATTCTCTTATAACTTCACCTTATTTAAGCATTTATGTTTCAAGGGAACAAAAAACGATGTAAACTCTAAATAAAAAGGGGAAATCATTCGAAGTCAGGATCTATATGTCCATCTTATGTCATCATTGAATAACTGATCTATTGCTCTAAATCACTTTTGCACTGTGTTTACAGTAGGGACACACTGTGGATCCACATTAATAATTTCCTGTTTCTTTTTCTTAACACTAAACACTTTTGGAGATTACATTCATATATACTTGCAGGAATGTTCTCCTTCTCCTACATTGTTCTTCTTGTCCTATTTTACACTTACTTCATATCTATTTCTCTCTTCATTTACCTTAGATGTTACATCACACACACCCCCCTCACAGATCCCCTCCCCTCTCTAGGATCCAGCCTCCTGTTCCTGTCCCAGGGCCTCCAACAGGATTCCCATGGGTGTCCTCTTCAGGCCGATGCTCTCCAGCTTGTTCTCCAGCTTGTTCTTCAGGCTGCGCAGCCTCACCGACGCATGGACAAGAACCACTGAGAGGAGACACAGAGGGAGACATCAGGTGTTGTCTTGATACATTCAGTGAAATGCACTGTATTTTCACAGCAGTGTCCTTCAGTCACAAGGCCTCTAAAAAAATTACAGTTTTTACTTCCAAAAGCTTCTACTTTGCTGTGGAAATGGAAGTGTGTGTGTGTGTGTGTGTGTGTTTCCATCTTACTCAGTATAGGGAAGGCTATCCCAAACAGGAACACGGCCACTCCTCCCAGCACCGATATGAATAGATAACTGACCAAAAGAATGGCAAACACAGAGATTGATGGGTGGTTTCTACGGAAACGGCGAATGGGAGCCTGGTTCTCGGCAGCCCAGACAAAGCCCAGGAATAACACGGTGACCACCACCCCCCCCGACAAGCAACTGGAAGGGCCGCATGTACCTGAGAGAAAAGCAGAGGAGGAAGAAGTACTCAGATATTATGGTAAAAGTAGCAATGCGCGCGCGCGCGCGCACACACACACACACACACACACACACACACACACACACACACACACACACACACACACACACACACACACACACACACACACACACACACACACACACACACACACACACACACACACACACACACACACATCACACACACACACACACACACTACACACACACACACACACACACACACACACACACACACACACACACACACACACATCACACACACACACACACACACACACACACACACACACACACACACACCACACACACACACAACACACACACACACACACACACACACACACACACACACACACACACACACACACACACACACCACACACACACACACACACACACACACACACACACACACACACACACACACACACACACACACACACACACACACACACACACACACACACACACACACACACACACACACACACACACACCAGGATGTCAGGTGAAACGGTTAATCTGTTTTCGATATCCAGTGGTTAGGGTTAGCTTATTTTCTTGATTTTACATCACATTATATTATTACATTTCAGGAGGTGGAAGAAGTACTCAGACCTTGTACTAGATTAAAAGTAGAAGTACCAGACTGTAGGAATACTCTGTTACAGTAAAAGTCCTGCATTAAAAATGTTACTCAAGTAAAAGTAGAAAAAGTATTAGCATCTAAATATACTTAAAGTACCAAAAGTAAAAGTAGTCATTGTGCAGATTGGTCCATTTCAGAATAATATATATGATATGTTTTATAATGATTGATCATTAAAGTGTTCACAAAGCTGGTAAAGGTGCAGCTAGTTTGAATGACTTTGTATACTGCAGCAGGGATGCAAACTCATCAGGTATGAAAAAGGTGACAAGGATCCGAGCCCCCCGACCCCACGGAATATCGGCTTTAAAATGCGGAATAACAGAGGATTTTAGCAGTCAGAACAACTAAAGCAGTTAATAATAACAGAAACGCCAAAGAGTCACATCTAATAGAAATATATTTAAGCATTTATTTTAATTGTGTAGCAGTCAGTTTATAATTTTGGCAGGACTGTTGAGCATTTTGAAAATGTATTTTCATGCCTCTGTGCAAGGCTGTCTTTCTATCTTTATAGCCACTGGTGTAAAGTAACTAAGTTCATAAACTCAAGTACTATACTTGGGTACAATTTTGAGATACTTGTACTTTATTTAAGTATTTCAATGTTTTGCTACTTTGTTCTTCTTCTCCTCTACAGTTCAGAGGTAAATGGTGTACTTTTACTCCACTACATGTATTTAATACCTTTAGTTACTTCACAGATGTGGATGAATGATGTGAAATATAATCAAGTGTTAAATCAGACTTTAGTTCCACCTGGAGTAAATTCACAAGCTACCCTGCAGTATACAAAGTCATTCAAACTAGCTGCACCTTTACCAGCTTTGAGAACACTTTCATGATCAATCATTATAAAACATATCATATATATTATTCTGAAATGGACCAATCTGCACAATGACTACTTTTGCTGTCGCTACTTTAACTATATTTTAATGATAATACTTTTCTACTTTTACTTGAGGAACATTTTGAATGCAGGACTTTTACTGTAACAGAGTATTCCTACACTCTGGTACTTCTACTTTTACTCAAGTACAAGATCTGAGTACTTCTACTTTTACTCAAGAACAAGATCTGAGTACTTCTATTTGTACTCAAGAACAAGACCTGAGTGCTTCTACTTTTACTCAAGTACAAGATCTGAATGCATGTATGCTAGTTAGCTAGCTCAACGATTCATTAAATAATATTGGGACAGAAACACTTTTCAGTGCACATCACGCTCTGCCGCTCCGACAGGGAGCTCTGCTCTGAACACCCCGTTCTGTTCTAACCAGCGGTCCAGTCTATGCCACAGTGACTCCGGACCGCACAGTTAATATTAACGAACGCACCGTAGGCAATGTAGCTCCTGAAGCTAGACCCTCATCCCGGAGCAGCAGAGCCTTATTATACATCCATGAGCAGAGCTGACAGGCAGGAAGACTTGTGCTCGCGCTTCATTATAATATATAAAAAAAGAACACCATGCGTGTCATGATGGCACATAACAGCTCGCGGCCGCAGATTACTCCGGGTCCCAGACCCCCCCCATACCCCAAAAATATTTTTATTGCAGATCTACATGAATCACACAAACGACCTATTTTGGAATCAAAACGGCGAATTTCGCCGAAAGGTGACAAGTTTGCATCCCTGCTGCAGGGTAGCTTGTGAATTTACTCCAGGTGGAACTACAGTCTGATTTAAGAGTTGATTATATTTCACATCATTAATCCAAATCCAAGGTAGCTAAAGGTATTAAATACATGTAGTTGAGTAAAAGTACACACTTTATGTCTGAATACTTGAGCATATCTACTTAGTTACTATACCCCTGCACTGCTAACATGGTTGATTACGGTCTTTATCAGAATCAGGTTTATTGCCAAGTAGGTTTACACATTCGAGGAATTTGCCTTGGTGTAAATGGTGCATACATAAACACAGTCAAAGAAGATAAATTGTAAGAAAATCACAATAAAATAAAACAAGGATAAAAAACTATTTTAAGAAAACTATTATAACATTACAATATAGCAAAAATAGATGAAATATAGATATACCCGTAAAATAAAATAAAATATGTGCAGTATTTGTGTTACATGTGGAAAGCCATGAAGATATTGTTGATATTGTTGACATTTTAAAGATTATACAGCTTGGCCAATTCTGTGTTTTCATTTGGTCATGCCAATAAAACCTCTCTGAATTTGAGAGAAAGGAGTGAAAGACACATGAAGAGAGAGAGAGAGAGAGGGAGAGAGAGGTCAGCAGCAGCAGCGTACCCCACGGTGAGCAGCAGGATCAGCGCGGACAGGAAGTAGTTGCTCTGGTAGTACAGCAGGTTGTTGATGATGCGGTGGTTCCAGCGGTCCAGGTCGCGTACATCGGGCACGGCGAACCGGGCCGAGGTCAGGAGGAAATCATCCAGGCTGCGGAGGGGTGGCGGCTGCACGCCTGCCATCTTTCCTGCACGGTAATAAACGCTGAATCCCAGAGTGCAATGCGGGGGGAAAGGGGGCGGTGCAAGGGGTGTGATTAGCTCTGGCGAAGCGCGGGCAGGAGCATCGGGAGTGCGCTTTTCGGCCCCGCAGTAATGGAGGAGTATGGGCTTAGATATGTCTCATAATTATTTGTGTGAACATAAAAATAATTTGTCTGTAAATATGTGATTTGTAAATGTAAAACACCATCCACAAATGCATTTAAAAGATTTGCAAACTCACAAATAAATGTTCTTATATTCAAAGATCTTTTTTTTATTTGTAAAAATATTTTGCGTATAGAGTGGCGAAGTCCCTCCCCTTCCGGTTGAGCCCCATGGGACCTTATTTCGGAAAAGTTATGCATTGAAGTCAATGGAGAGAGAAAGATTATCTTTCGATCCCGTTTGAATTGTGCCACGAATTACACATATGATGTTTGTCAATTTAAAAGATAATTTTGCAAGTCAAAAAAAAAAAAATGTGTCGTAAAACTGTGAAGTAACACATTTGTTTGTGTGAAACGCTAAATGAACTACATCTCTGGTCAACCACACACGTCACCAAGATGGCCGTCACTACTGTCTTGTCAACAAACGATTGACTATCACCACAATGAAACACGTCCTGAAGAATGTCATGCAAAGCTGCCTGCCTGCCTTCCTTTGATTCTCTCTGAACTGCCTGGTCGTTTTAATGTTTAATGTCAACCATTTGTGCAGATAGCATGAAGTAGAAAAGATCACCGATGCTAACGTTAGCGTTAGCATTTCTCCCCCGGAATTAAATGGTGTATTATAGAATGATCACACCGGTGACAGTACTATTCAAAGGGTTCACGAAATATGACTACTACTCTTACTGTTTAACATTTTGGGTTACTTAATGTTACTTCATGTTAAGGCTAATAAAAATGACAAGGCTGTAATGCTAACTAACGTGCTAGCTACTAGCTAGGTAGCTAACTTGATCAAGCCACTCCTGGTCGTTTCATCAGACGGGAAGCAAAAGAACGAGCAAGACCCATTGCTGGTATAATAACAACCTGGTACTAAGCACACAGGCATCTTGTTAAAGTTATCTTATCTTAGCCAGCGCCATATAGATAGATTATATCTATATTGCGCTGATCTTAGGTATCTGAATGGTGGAGGTAAACAATTGTGACATCACTTACGCGACTCTGGGATTTGTAGTCTTTCTAGTTACGTATTTTTCATAGTCTTATATTTCAACAGTTTTACGACAAACTGTGACTTTTTTGACATGGAAATGATTTTTTAAGATTGACAAACATCATATGTGTAATTCATGACACAATTCAAACGGGATCGAAAGATAAGTTTTCTCTCCCCATTGACTTCAATGCATAATTTTTCCGAAATAAGGTCCCATACCCCGGAAGTAAGTGGGAGGGACTTCGCCACTCTATTTGCAGATCCGTACGGTGTCCGGCAGATGCAAACGCGGAACAACGGCCAAAAACGCATACATAAGCAGGAAATAGCTGCAAATAATGAAATGAAAAACAAACAAATCCTGAAAACAAATACAACAAAAAAACGCTGCATTTACAGAAATGATGCAAACTAAATACAACACACAAACCCCGAAAACAAACGCAACAAAAAAACGCTGCAAATACAAAAACACATACAAACCCCAAAACACATACAAACCCCAAAACACACAGTGCTCCAGGCCTCTAGGGGGCGCGCTACGTGGAACAGATTGGTGTCTGACCAGACATAGAGAGAACGAACGAGAGTGATGGCAATTGAAGCCGGAGGAAATAAAGTTGATTGAAGTGGACAAAGTCGATATATAAGAAGGTAAGTTTTGTTTTTATACAAAGAGCGTCATATTTACTCAGCTAGCGTTAGCGTCCCTACAGTAACTACTACACCAGCTGAGGAGAGGAGAGCTTCACCTGAAGAGAAGATAAAGTGAGGGAAGAATATTGTTAAAAGAGGTGACAAATGGAGTGCAGGTAAATAACACGGGCCATAGTGAGTACCGCGGAAACATTTGAAGAGAGAGAGAGAGACATTCTTAGCAGTTTGTTTATATGTATGTATTTGTGTATATATGTTGCAACTATACAGAGCTTTAACAATACTATATGTAACTATGGTCGGTGGAGAAGTGATAAAATGTGAAGATGGACAAAGTAATGACAGGAGAGGAGTTTGCATTAGACATGCTCAAGAACAAATATAGAGAAGACATTCAAGGAGAGAGAGACAAAACACAGATTCAACGGTAAACATGATGTATCTTTCTATTTATTTAGCTAACCACTATTTAGCCTATGTGTTTTCGATTGACTTGATTAAATGGATTTACTACATCAATGTATGTCTTTTCAGGCTGCCATGTTTTGTCCTTTCTGTGGCAAACATCTGATTGATTGATTGATTGAAAAGTTTATTAACAGCTTGTATATTGGGTACAGTACAGTACAGCTCAAAACATACAATTGTTAAGGGGATGCAGACCAGAGAAAGACTTTCGTCTTGTTTACATCAGGGTCCCCCATTTCCAATTCATCATATCATTTAAGACATATAAGACATATATGACATACAGATGGCTTATTTACAATTTACATACAGGTGGTTTTTTACATACAGATGGATTATTTACAATTTTCATTTTAGATTTCGTTCTAATACATCCTAACCGGACATTTAAGACATACCAAGTCTACAGATATACAGTTAGTAACAGAGTCTAAAATGCGAGTATATACATAGATGGGGGGGGGGAAGCTGTCCATTGTACGACAGGTTGAGATTTGTACCATTACCGGGGCCAGTTTTGCAATGCTTTCCCCCGAAGGTGCTCTTTAAGAGAGGTTTTGAAGGTAAGTATAGTTTTACTTTCCTTTACAGTTGTGGGAAGAGCGTTCCACCTTGATGTGGCATAATTGCGAAACGTGTATTCCCCCTTTTTTTGTGCCAAATCTGGGTTTTACATGATTTGTGGAGCTCCCTCTGGTGTTATGATCATGGTATTCCTTGACCTTTGGGAAGAATTTTGACATGTACATGGGTACCATAGAGGTGTAGTGGATCTTGTAGACCAGGCCCATTGCAAGTAGCTGTACTCTGTCGTCTACTCTAAGCCATCCTAGGTTGTCAAAGTGGGCAGAGGTGAGGTGGGTTCTAGATGAAAGGTCAAGCAGTAGTCTGACCAGTTTATTTTGCGATGTTTGAAGTTTTGTTTTTAGCGCCTTGGAGGTGCTATGGTACCATGACGTGCAAGCATAGTCATAGTACCCTTGAATGAGTGCTCCTGCCAGAGTTTTCAGGGTGTTTTTGTTTACCAGAGAGGAGATCCGGTATAGGAATCTAGTTCTTTGATTGACTTTTTTTATTACATTGGATGCCATTTTGTCACAGGAGAGGTTTGCCTCAAGAATAGATCCTAGGTATGTAATTTCCTTCTTACTTGTGACAATAATGTCACCCACTGCAACTGAGAAGTCGTCGGATTTGCTGAGATTATGTTTCGAACCGAAGAGAATGGACTCTGTTTTACCCAGGTGTAATGATAATTTATTATCGGCGAGCCAGGTGCAGATTCTGCCGAGCTCGGAGCTGAGGGTTTTTTCAACCTGCAATCTGCTCCTGTCAGAGACCAGCAGGGCTGAGTCGTCCGCGAACAGGAACAAGTTGCAGTCACATGCTGATGACATGTCATTTGCATAAATTAGGAACAGTAACGGACCTAATATGCTTCCTTGTGGAACACCACAGCTCACTGGGAGGGGGGGGGACAGAGTACCGTTTACCTCCACCATCTGTTCTCTCCCCTCCAGGTAGGATTGCATCCAGCTCACCGATAGTTTATCAAAACCAATTGCTTTTAGCTTGTCAATCAGAATGGGGTGATTGACAGTGTCGAAAGCCTTTTGTAGGTCCAGCATCACCATGCCGCAGTATTTACCCTCGTCCACCTCTTGTTTGATGTGGTCGGTCAAATAAAGAAGGCATGTGTCAGTGGAGTGGGATGTTCTAAAGCCAGATTGAAATTCATAGATTAGTTTCTTTTCTGCGAGGTACTTTTCGACCTGTTCATATACTATTTTTTCCATGACTTTCGAGATGGAGGTAAGTATAGAAACAGGGCGGTAGTTGCCTGGGTCCAATTTGCTGCCCTTTTTGTGCAGGGGGGTTACTCTTGCAATTTTGAAGTCTTTGGGTACTTTTCCCTGTTTTATGGAGAGGTTAATTATGTGAGCTATGACTGGTGAGATGGCGGTTGCTGTGTCTCTGAGGAATTTGGAGGGGATATTGTCGTGGCCAGTGGCCTTGTTAGGTTTGAGGGCGCTCAGTTTAATGAGTACCTCTGCTGTTGTTACCCTTGCTAGACTGAAATCATCTTTGCGTACCCCTAGGTTTTTGTAGTAGGTCATGATGTGATCTACTCCAAAAAGCCCTGAGTGGGAGGGTAATTTATTTACAAGAGTTGTGGCTATGTTTGTGAAAAAAATGTTCAAGTACTTGGCCACATCCAGTTTGTCTGTGATGAGCCTGTTATCTGTCTTTATGTTTACGTTTGAAAATCTCGTTTTGAGTTTTTTACTGCAGCCAAGCTGGTTATTGAGTAATTTCCAAAGTTCACGGGGTTTATTTTTGTTTTCCTCAGTTTTGTCATTGATGAAATTCTTTTTGGCAGTTTTGATCATGGAGCTTACGTCATTTCTTAGTCTGTTTCATCTGGGGACAGTTCAAGTGTTCTGTGGCTCCTGTGGCCAACATTTACAGTTTTTGGCAGAAGTTGAACAGAACAGTAAGTTCACTTTTTTTATTGTATCTGTTTCAAATGCAACAAATAAGGATTCAACACACTACTCTGGTTAGAATACTAATTGGCAGATGCATACACTAGTTATCAGCATGAAGGACACATTTTTTCATTGTCTGTTTATGTAAAATATGTAGAAGCCATCATTAAATTGTAGACCAATGCATGATTAAA